TAAATTCCAAATGTCCATTTATATGTCCATATATGTCCATTTAGGTACATATAATGATTATAGACCAGAGCTCACTAACTATGTATCTGAAGAAGTGTGCATGCACACGAAAGCTTATACCAGAACAAACTTAGCTGGTCTATAAGGTGTTACGGGACAATTTTTTATTTTTATTTCGACTGCAGCAGACCAACATGGCTACTTACCTGAATCTAACACTGTTCTGTTCTGTTCCTGTTTCGTTTGCTGTTCATTGCTGCATTCTACACCTTGGAGCATCTATCACTGCAATGTTGGACATTATCTATTGAAAGGCATCCTAACTTCGTCGTGGGGTTCCCTGGCAGCAATTCATTACGCTTACCATTTCTTGTTTATGGACTTATACATACATTATTTGTGAATGCTTAAGATTTGTAAATTCTGGATTATGATCTAACTAATTATATTATCAGCCATGTGTTGCGGTTGGATTTGAGCAGATTTTTCTGTATTGCAACACAGGGGTTTTGTCTCTGTTACAGTTTCAAATATGAATCACCTGGTGCCACTTGATGTCAGGTGACTGTGACCTGACTCACTTGTCAAAAGGGGTTGGGGAGGGTGGGCCGGATTGGGACCTGGCCTTTGACCTGAAAGGAAAGCTCCTGAACCATTGCCTTAAAGGCCAAGAAAGCAAAGCAGACGCAAGAGATGGATGTGAAATTTGGGGTGACCCAATGCAAAAATCCTGAGAATCCATGTGGATCCATGCTTTGTAATCACGTTTTTGCGTCATTGCAGCCCCAGGCAACAGTGGGTGCGTCATTTGTGTGGTGCAGGCTGTAGCCATGGACATGCTATGTGATCTGATGGTGAATTTGGGGTGACCCAGTGCAAAAATCCTGAGGCTCCATGGGCTTTTACCTCCCCCTTCCCAGGCAGCCTCCTGTATCTCTACCGTCCCTTATCTCCCTCCCGATAGCTTACCGATCAGCTGCTTTCTTTCAACACTCCCTTCCCTCTTGTTTGCCTTAGTGTCTTTTCCTTAGCTGGAGCAGTTTTTTGCTCCTCCTTTTCTTCTAATTTCTCTCCTCATTGCTTTAGTCTTCCTGTCTCCTCTCCTTGCAAGTTCGCTGTTTTTACCTCCCCCCTCCCAGGCAGCCACCTTTATTGCTAGCATCCCTTATCTCCCTCCCCGATCGTTTGCCGATCAGGGGCTTTGTTTAAACACCCACTTCCATCTTTCAAAAAAAAAAAAAGAAAAGAAAAAAAAAGCACGATCTGCTTTTTGCCCCTGGGCAATTCAGCTCCAGGGACCACGCATTTGCTCCAAAAGATGCAGAGACATTTCCCCTTACTTTTTAGGAAGAAAAAAGTGTGTCTTATGGAGCGAAAAATACGGTAGATTGATATAATGAACACAGAAAAAGGAAATCAATAAGTAGCTGAAAAAGGACTGGACGTACTGGGATCCAGCGCCCTGTGGAACTGCATGGCTGGGTCCAAGTGTGATGGGAGGTGGCTCCTGTAGACCTCCGGAGTAGCCCCTCGGTGGTGGGGGTCGAAGGGGCTGTGAGATACGACGGGATCCACCCCGGGGACGGGGGATTTTGCCGGGATGCTCTCCCTCTGCGTTGGCGTCAGGGTGGACTTCCTCTCGTGGTTGGAGGACTTCCCTGAAGAGGGGCCAGGTGCAAATGAAAAGCCAGAGTTAGGAACAGTGCCAAGAATGAAATATTTCAAAACGTAGGTGTTTTGGACCCAAGGAACACATGTGCGAGCTCTTTCCAGAGAGTCGGATCTGACTTAAGTGTTCTCTACACTGACTGGCAGCTGCAGCTCTTCCCCTAAAAATAAAGTGAGATCCCAGTCTTCACAGTTCCGAATGAAGGGCTGGCTTAAATAGGAGCACCAGATCAGATCACTGGGCCATTCAGCTCAGGACTGCCCACACTGACCAGCAGCAAAGGCTCGCCCTGCTGAGGGATGAACCTGGGACCTTCAGCATGCAGAACAGATGCTCTACCACGAGCAGTAGCCATTGGCCACCAAGTTGGATGACTTTATAAGAGGAGGAGATAAATTCATGGTGGGGAATTGTCAAGGACCGGTTGGATGCAGAAGAACGGTGGGAAGGCACATAAACTGGTGGAGGGGGAGTGGTCCCTGTTGCTGCAGCTGCTCCAGAGAGCAGAAACCTGGGAATAGCTGCCTAGACCAGGCATAGGCAAACTTGACCCTCTAAATGTTTTGGGACTACAATTCCCATCATCCCTGACCGCTGGGCTTGTTAGCGAGGGATGATGGGAGTTGTAGTCCCAAAGCACCTGGAGGGCCGAGTGTGCCCTAGATTGGTGGGCTCCAATACCCAGACCTGCAGAAGCAGCTGTGCTACCTTTGACTATTGGCCGGCGCGTTCCTTTGGCTGGAGAGTGCCCTAATGGTCAGTTGCTCCCCCCCATCCCCGCCTGCAGTTTAGGCTTCAAATCCCACCAGCCCTCGGGCTGAGGGAAACTCACCTTCCGACACCCTGTTCATCATGGGGGAGCTCCTGGACATGCTCTGGTAGCTCACGGGTGTCCTCCTGGCGTTGGCGTCCTCGTAGATCCCGGGGCTCACTTGCGACTTGGGGGCCTCATGGAGGGTCGAGCGGAGGACCGAGGTCCCGGAGCTGACCACCGTGTGGCGCTGGCGGACCTCCCCGGAGGACTTGGCCTCCTCGTACTTCCCTCGCTCGGCCGCCTTCACGGTCTCTGTCACCAGCTCCAGCGGAGGCATCCCGCGAGGGAGTTTGCTCGGGCCGGTGATCAAGGACTTGACGTTGTGCTTGATGGCCGACTGGCCGGAGCCGCTCTCGTATTTGATGGGTGTCCCCTAGAAGAGGGAAGAGGACGGGGGGCCACAGCGTCAGCTAGGCCTCAGTGGGTCCACAGCTATGGGAAGTCACCTCAGAAACCCCACAGACGCACACGTTTCCCCCCACCTCAATTCTTTTCCATACAAGTCTTTTAAAAGGTAAAGGGACCCCTGACCATTAGGTCCAGTCGTGACCGACTCTGGGGTTGTGGCGCTCATCTTGCTTTATTGGCCGAGGAAGCCGGCGTACAGCTTCCGGGTCATGTGGCCAGCATGACTAAGCTGCTTCTGGCGAACCAGAGCAGCGCACGGAAACGCCGTTTACCTTCCCGCTATAAAGCAGTCCCTATTTATCTACTTGCACTTTGACGTGCTTTTGAACTGCTAGGTGGGCAGGAGCAGGGACCGAGCAACGGGAGCTCACCCTGGCGCGGGGATTCGAACCGCTGACCTTCTGATCGGCAAGTCCTAGGCTCTGTGGCTTAACCCACAGCGCCACCCACGTCCCTACAAGTCTTTTACCGTTTCTTTATTTCTGTTGCCCTTATGAAGCGAGATACACAAAACAAGATAAAATATACCCCCCAGTTAGAGCTGGACCTCAGGGTCCGGGCTGAACGATGGGGGTGGAGATGCTCCTTTAGGTATACAGGACCGAGGCCGTTTAGGGCGAGTAATCAAATAATTATCTAAACCAGGCACGGGGAAGCTTTGCCCCTCCAGATGTTGCTGAACTACAACTCCCATCACCCTGTGCCTGCTGGGGCTGATGGGAGTTGTAGTTCTTTGGTGTCGGCCCTCGGCTTACGGTGAGAAAACACGCCCCTTTCCTTTCTTTTTCAGAGTGCATATGCCCAGCTGCTCTGGTGGGCTTTGACACCTGCCTACCTGAGATATGGAGCCGTCGATCATCGGCCGGGAGCCCTGGACAATCTCTGGGGTCTTGCGGCTCTCTTGGCTCAGCAGGTCCTGCCTGGGGATCTCGTGGATGGAGCGCCCCATCTCCTTGATGGTGGTGACCCCATCGTAGGGCTTCCCCTTGGTGATGGCGCCTTCGAAGCTGCGCAGGGCAGGGGACTCCCTCTTGATCTTCGGGTACTTGAGGCCTTCCTCGTAGCCCTCGGCCGCGGCCCTCGGGGTGCCTTTGGGGGGGGAGCAGGGAGAGGGACGGGTGCTTCAGAAGAGCTCACACAACCAAACAGCTGAACGTTGGCAGGAGAAAATGCTGTTTTGCTCCCGCAAATGCCTCTCGACTGCTCGTCCCTCCAGAAAGATCTCTTTCCATGAGCCGCAGCTCCAATCCATTTTTAATGAAAGTATTAAGTGGACTGTGTTAAGCATGGGTTGTTTGTTTTTTAAGTGTTTAATGTCACTTCTTGCAAGTGAATCAGCCGCCTGGCCTTGGGCTTGCAAGGTGCGATGTGATGCCGAGGTTGGCTCAGCTCTTCTGAGCCTTGGAGGAAACGCGCTGAATTCTGAAGCCCCTTGGCTACTTGGGGGGCTAAATGAAAGGGGCTGAAATGTAGTCATGCCATGGCCTTTGCAAAAGATACTTCAAAGTATTTAGCATGGACGTTGACTTAGCAGTAAAACTAGCCATTGATAAATACAAGTTTCTGATCCACTTTATTTACCATCCACTGTTTATTTACTATCTAGGTATATTATCATATTGCCTCTTTTCTACAAGTTTCTTTTAATTATATCTCTATCTACGTCAAAAGGTGTATATATAAATATAAATATACAGTGGTACCTCGGGTTAATTACCTAATTCATTCCAGGGGTCCGTTCTTAACCTGAAACTGTTTTTAACCTGAAGCACCACTTTAGCTAATGGGGCCTCCTGCTGCCACCGCGCAATTTCTGTTTTCATCCTGAAGCAAAGTTCTTAACCTGAAGCACTATTTCTGGGTTAGTGCAGTCTGTAACCTGAAGCGTATGTAACCTGAGGTACCACTGTAAATCTTTTGTCTACTGTCTTTACACCTGACCAGGCTCAATTGGTGCTCTTTCTTTTGAATGGTTGGAATACTTCCTTAGTCTTGTCTGTTTTACATTTAATAATCATCATATTTATTATAAAAAGACTCACAATTCATAGAATAATAGAATTGGAAGGGACCTCAAGGGTCATCTAGTCTAGGAATCTTTTGCCCGACGTGGGGCTCGAACCCACAACCCTGCGATTAAGAGTCTCACGCTCTACCATGTTAATATGTGAGATTTGTTTTTCAATAAGTAGCTGGATCAGAACCCGGATTGGTGGAGTTAAAGAGCTTTTAACCTCCTCCCTCCCCACCCCAAAAGTTCATGGGGAGACCTACCTTGCATTATAGAGCCCGACAGCACAGTCCTCTCTTTCAGGTCCGAGTGGGGGCTGCCCCGAGGAAGAGCGCGGCAGATTAACCCTGAAAAAGACGGATGGGGACTTAAGATGGGTTCAAAACCACGCCGTTCCTCTCCCAAATGACACATGCCATTTCACGTTACGAGAGTGGCATGTTCATACAATAAAATACATCTACATCAAGCATGCACAAAAGTTTATACATCTCCAGCCGAACATCTCTTCCAGTATGATCACATCTAACGCATGTGTAATTTTGTTTGGTTTCAACCATATGTGGTTGACAGCCAGTTGGTTGAAATACCGTGAGTTAAATGCAAGAAGGTGGGGACAGGGCCGGATTTAGGTTTGATGAGGCCCTAAGCTACTGAAGGCAATGGGGCCCTTTCTATGGCCAGCTGTCCTTTGTCGATAACAAATTGCCGCTGTTTTTTGTGTTGAATATATGCTATGTGATAATTTATGGTAAAGGTAAAGGGACCCCTGAGCGTTAAGTCCAGTCGTGGACGACTCTGGGGTTGCGCGCTCATCTCGCTCTATAGGCCGAGGGAGCCGGCGTTTGTCCACAGACAGCTTCCGGTTCATGTGGCCAGCATGGCTAAGCCGCTTCTGGCGAAACCAAAGCAGCACATGGAAACACCATTTACCTTCCTGCTGGAGCAGTACCTGTTTATCTACTTGCCTTTTTGGGGCATGCTTTTGAATTGCTAGGTTGGCAGGAGCTGGGACAGAGGAACGGGAGCTCACCCCGTTGCGGGGATTCAAACTGCCGACCTTCCGATTGGCAAGCCCGAGGCTCAGTGATTTAGACCACAGCCCTAATAGGTATCTAAAGCCATTTGCGCATGTTGCCATGCAACCAGTCCACGCAGAATGTTTTAGGGATCAGGCTAGCAGGCCAGGGCCGTTACTTACATCATAGGAGCCTACACAACACAAAACACTGTTGCTGTATGTAGGTTTTATTTTATTTGTTTTTTATCTCATATTTTGGAAATGTACATCCAGGTGTTTTTTCCTTTAATTTTTTTTGGGGGCCCCCAAGAGAGTGGGGCCCTAAGCTATAGCTTGTTTAGCTTATAAGTAAATCTGGCCCTGGGTGGGGAGCTTAAAAGCTCTTTTTGCAGCAGGTTTTAAGCCCTCTGCCTTGCTTTGTGGGGCACAAGGCCCTCGTGGCAGACCGAATCTGGGATGCTCTTCTTGTGCAATCTTGTGGGGCCCTGGTCTGCTGGCTCGCACAGGGACAGCTTGAACACATGCAATGTTGCGTACATTCACCACTGGCAAAGCATGACCCCCACATAAGATGCAATCATACTATACCTCGCTTGCAAGCTTTCTAACCATACAACTGGCCGGCGAGATGAACCCTTATCTCCCCACCCATCCACAAGTCATAGCTGACAGGTGTATAGGGTTACCCTCCTGCGAACCCCCTAACAGTGTGTTTCTCAACCTAGAGCCCCCAGCTGTTGTTGGACTACAGCTCCCATCATCCTTGACCACTGGTCCTGCTAGCTAGGGGTGGTGGGGGGACCCAAACTTGAGAGACACTGCCCTGACATCACAAACAGAGGGGTCTTTTTCGGTGATGCTCTCAAGACACACTATCAGTCCCAGGTTGTAATGAAAGATTATGCCAGGGGTCGGCAAACTAAGGCCCCCGGGCCGGATCAGGCCCACCTGGATCCTAAATCTGGCCCGCACCGCAAAACCGGAACCCACCACGAAGTCGAGACTCCCGGCGATTACGATGAAAGGAAGAGGCCGAGCGGTGGCGTTTGATTGGCAGAGACGTCCCCGCGCCGCGCTGAGGTAAACCAGGCACGGCGTTTGAGATAAACCAGCCGCCGTCACTCAGCCTCTTCTTCCTGTCACCGTCACTGCCCTGGTGCCCTGGGCGAGAGAGCTTCTCCGTCCCACCACAAGGTCTGAGGGACAGTGGACCAGCCCACGGCTAAATTTTTTTGCCGACCCCTGGGGCAGGTTCTAAGCATCTGAAGAGAAACGAAAAAGCGCCACATGGCAGGGCTCCCACCTTCTAACGGTGCGGAGACAGGAGATTCCCTCATCGACATCCCTTGCTTGATGTTGCCTTCCATAGCATCGTACGTCCGCTTCAGCCCCATCTCGTGAGCGGTCCGTGGGCTCCGGGTTCCTTCGCGGACATTCTTGATTGCTGTCAAAAATACAGAAACGTGGGTCAGGATACCGGCAGAGACAATGTGGGGAGGGATATTGAAGTGGCTCTTTTGTTGCCATGTAGTGCCACTCCAAAAGGTGACGCTTAGCTGTTAGCATCGCCCATCAAGTCAAGACTGGTCAACTAGTGTTACCCCCCCATCAATGCTCAGCAACTAGAACTGAGTTTCTCTTTCTTTCCTACAACTTTTGTTAAATTTTGTGTTTAACATTTTAGAATATTCATTTAAACAACCTTAAAATATCAACGGCTTCCCCTCTTGTCTTTCCATAGTTCATTTTGCGTATCATAAATCCCTGCATATTTTATACAAACTAAACCATCCAGTATTCCATTATTACGTCCATCGAAACTGATTTACACTGCTGAATTTATCTTAATGCTGCTCACGTTTTCAAATGTACACAATTTCCCCCATATATTCAATAAAGATTTTCTGATCTTCTTTAAAACGTTTGTTCTTCTTGTTCTCTTATTCTATTAAGTCCGCGAGCTGTGCATATTCCATCAGTTTAAGCTGCCATTCTTCTTTAGTTGGGACTTCGCTCGCTTTCCATTTGTGGGCTAACAAAACACAGACCGCAGTAGTGGCACACATAAATAACCTTTTTTGACACCTGGGAATTTCTCCCAGGTAGCACTGTGTTTCTGAATCCCCAGCCGGGGTTAGACTACAGCTCCCATCAGGGATGGGATGATGGAAGTTGTAGTCCTACAGCAGCTGGAGACCTGAGTTTGAGAAACACCGGACCAGCATCACCGCTCCTCAGTCATGGGACGTCTTGTGCCAGACACCAATGGCACCCCGAGCTTGAGACTTACCGTCGTAGGTTATTATGTGCCCGCTCTTGCCCTCGTAGATGACATGGCCCTTGGAAGAGGCGGCTTCTTCCCGGCACTTCTCCGGGCTGCTGTCCTCCGTGGCCAGGCGAGTGATGGTTCCCTTTAGCAGCACGTCAGCTGCAATCCCCGACTGCGACAGAGCTGGCGTCCCCTGCAACGAAAGCGAAGGGAGCTAGGAACCAGGCCAAGCCAGGCTCTGGAAATGGAAACAGAGGAAGCCGCCTCCTCTAGAACGATCGCTCTCCAGGACAGGCTCTGGCTCTCACAGACTCGATTAGACAGTGGCTGAATGTTTTGGGCTGTTTCACTGAAGTGGGAAACTTGAGCATATGGAGTCACGTGGTGGCCGCAAAGAGAGTTTAATTGTTGAGCGATTGGGCTAGGTGGGTGTTGTGCGTTTACTTTGTTTTGTGTAGTGCAGGCTTTCCAAAGTTGGGTCTCCAGCTGGTTTGTTTTTTTTGGACTACAATTCCCATCATCCCTGATCACTGGTCCTGCTAGCTAGGGATGATGGGAGTTGTAGTCCAAAAATGGCTGGAGACCCAAGTTTGTGTAGTGTGAATGTGCATCTGAAGGATTTTGGTTTAGGGAAGTTTTTGAAGTCTGATGCATTACTGTGTTTTAATATTGTGTTGGAAGCCGCCCAGAGTTGCAGGGGAAACCCAGCCAGATGGGCGGGGTATAAATAATAAATTATTATTATTATTATTATTATTATTATTATTATTATTGATGATGATTGTATCAGTACAGGTGAGGGTTGTTTTGTTGTGGTGTTTATTTATTGATCTTTTAATCTATACTGTATTTATGTTGCGTTCGAATGCTTTGTATAGGATTTGCTTTTACAGGCGCCATTTCGAGATATTTATCGTTGCTTAATTCTGCTACTAAAAATATGGAAACAGCAACAGCAGCAAAATATTATTGTTTCTTCTACTATCATAATCAGACAGGGGGCCTCCCCTGGTTCTACGTCAAGACCCCAGGGACCAAACCCCGGGGTGTGAGGTGTGGAGAGGCCTTCTTCCTGCAAATCAAGGAAACCCAAGTGATGGTTTCGAAACTGCCCCCTTCCCTTGGTCCATCAACGTCACAAGACGGAAGGAGATACCTGAGTGATGGAGCCTCGCAAGGTCGGCATGGATTCAACAGAAACTTTGCTGGCTGGGGTCCCTCGGGTTATGCTTCCTTCTTGGAGGGTCACCGCCGTACCTGGTTGAGGATACAGATTCAATGCCACTCAAACAAACACAGCATACCCAAATATGCACCCAGAACTATTTTTTCCTAAGTATCTCCCTCCCTCCCTCTCTATACAGTGGTACCTCGAGTTACAAACGCCTCAGGTTACAAACTCCGCTAACCTGGAAGAGTTACCTCGAGTTGTTGGGGTTTTTTTTGGGGGGGGGGTGTTGCTCCCACTGCTGACCCACTCAAGACCCCAGAGAGGACTTGTAAAACAGGGGAGTCCTCAGTCCGTTCCGACAGCACAGCACAGTGAAGAAGCCCCCACCATTCTTCAAGACTTGTTGAAGGAGGGAGGGAGGGGGGAGATGGGTAGGTGGGCTGATTCTGGCTCTTTGGGAACCAACAGCTTGTGGGGAAACGGAGGGTCCGAGGCTGTGTGTTTGTCTTTGTGTTTGTGTTTGTGTGCATGTGTATATGTGTTGCTGCTGTTAAGTGATTGTTGATTCTTATTTTATGCTACGGGGGGGTGGGGGTGCTTACTCATTAGCACCCAGGACAATCTGCTAAATCCTTTTCTTCCCCGCCCTCTGCCACCCCAAATCTCTTGCAATTGTGTTTCTAAAGTGGGTGGGACACTCTA